AATCGGGGCCTCTGGCATGGGGAGAAAAGGGAAAAGCTATTCAGCCAGTTCTTGAATTCTGCACCAGCACTTCATGAGATATCTTGAAAGGAAAGCCAGAGCCAGTTTTGATTATGAAGTGAAAGGGGAGAATCTGGTTACAGCCAAAAGCCTCTTAATGTGGTGCTCACTTTTAGGATTGTACTGGAAGATGTTAGACAAGGACCCAGGCTGCTCCTCCCCTACCCTAGGCTGAGTGTGGGAGGGCTGGCCTGCCAAGAAGGGTAAGTTGCCAGAGCTTGGGACAGAGAGCACAGGGGCCTGGGGTAGAGAGGTGCGGGGACAGCAGTGTAGGAGCAAAGCTAATTCCTCCCTACAAGCATTGTGCTGAGGGAACAATTGAGGCAGGGCTCCTGTGGTGTCCCATAGGGCCTACACTCTGCTGTGCTCAACTGACCTTCCACAAGTAGACTTGCTGCCCACAGTCCTAAAGCCCAAGATATATAGCCCAATCTATGTGACAGAAATAAGAGGAAATTGCTGACCTCCAGGGGGCAGTGGCTACAGAAGTCAGGCGGGCATTTCCTTTCTGTCATCCAGCATCTAAGTCCCCATCCAAGTCTAGAAAGTTCCTCCGTGGAAAGTCACTGACAACAGAGGCCCCAAATTACAGGCCTTAGTCTCCCCTTTATGTCCAACCCCTTTCCCACACTGCTATGCAGCTCTTCCTTTCTAAGATACAGGTTATGTCCCCCTGCAATTTGGCCATGTGATTTCCTTTGACCAAAGGCATATGGCAAGTGTGTATGCATTACAAATCCTGACCTTGGGAGGCCTTGGTGACTCCCCATGTTGCTAGCACTGTTGCAGAGTGCTGCTGGTTTGAGGGGTATTGTAGGTAGTTGAAGCACAACTTCTGGGCTGCGCCACAGCCTGGCATCCAGCAGCAGATTTGCCACCTGAGGGTCATGCCCAGCTGAGTCACAGGCATGGGGGGAAAAAATGAACATTTATTAAGTGCCATTGAAGCTATAGGGTTGTCTGTGACACAGAAGCAGTAGCTGCTGCTGAATACTGCAGTGCTCACATCGACATCTCAGGCAGTGAGAGCTCTGAAACAAGACACAGGCTGGGCCAACAGAGTTGGTGTGAAGAGACAGGACAGGAGTGTCTGGTCTACAGGGGCAGCCAGGGATGAATGCCAAGGGCAGATTATGGTGTTAATTAAGGTGGGAAGTGTCCAGATTCAGGTAATGATTTCTCATTAAAAAGGAGCCTAGGTGGTTAGAGGTTCCACTGTGCCCCTGACTTTGAGGCTCTGGGAAGTGGCATCTCTGCACCTCTCCTAATTTGCTCCTCATGGCCACAAGATGGCTGCAGATGCTCCTGGTATTGTGTCCATATAGGAAGCATTAAGGGAGGTGAGAGGAATGGGCAAAAAGCCTCTCCCTTGTTGAGAAACCCCCACCCCAGGCTTAGCTTGCTCACCAAAGCTTGGTAAAGTGCCCAGATCACAAACAGCCCCAGAAAATGCATTGCCAAGAAAGGCTCAGCCAAATCTTAAATTAACCCCCAAGACCGGGCACATTGCTGCTGGCACCAAATCAGGGTTCTTTTAGTAAGGAGGAAGAGATGGCCGCCAGGTGGCAATTGGCACCATCAGCCCTAGCCTGGGGTCTTGTCATGCATGGGAACACAGCTTCATGGCCCTCCTACCCTGGGTGCAGATGGTGCCTAGGGACTCTGGGTTGCTCCCAGCTCCCTACCTCAGAGCCCCTCATTTGCGCAATAAACATTTGAGTTGCACCTCTGAGACACATGGCCAGGTGCCCCCTAATAAAACCACACCATGTAAAGAGGATCTCAGGGCTCATGAGAACATAGCCAAGTTCTCGAGGCACAGCCAGGGGCGGGTGTCCAAGCTGGCCAGGTCTGGGGTAGATTCCCACCACACACGGCTCCCCAGAGGCCCCTTTGGCTCATTGGGAGGCCCCAGAAGTCACACTTGGCCTCCTCCTCACAGGCCTGTATCCCACCATCCCTGGAGAAAGCGTTTTCCCACAGCCCAAGTCCAGGTGCAGAGGGAGGCTCCTGCCGGGACATCTGGAAGCCGGAGGGCTTTCCTCATGCTCAGGCCTACACAGGGGACAGCCACTAAGGCTACAGCCGAGAGGAGGTGGACGGTGCAGGCTCCAGACCTCTGAGTGCCACGCAGAGGGCCAGCCAGGCGGGTGTGCGTGCTCATGCACGAGCGCATGCGCAAGGCTGTGAGTAAGCAGAGAGCATGTGTGTCTGGGCATGTTAGTGTAACCGTGTGAACGTGTGTCACAAGGCATGAGTGCAGGTGTGTGCGTGCTTGAGTGTGTACTTGTGTGCACACGCGTGTTCTGCCTTTCTCTGAAGGACACAAACATTCACAAAGATCCAAGCCAGTTTCTGCTAAATTAAAAACAGCTTTTTCGTGTTTAAAGTTTACAACATGAAAAATAATTTTCCTTTCTTGGGGGGGATGCTGAAGAACAGGGAGGGGCGGGGGCCTGAGAACATTCCATGCACCAGCCCAGACGGTTATGCACAATCACCCCAGTTAGATACGGCGCCCCCCCCCCCGCCCACCAGCACCCCTGCCAGCTCATTGGGGACAAGATGTTCTGAGGTGTGAGTTGATGGGGGACTAGCAGCTGGCAAAGGCTTCTCACTGGCCCCCCAAAGGGGCCATGCCTCCAGAAGAGAAGGATTCTCAGGAGATCAGGTTGGGGGGGGAGGGGTGGGGCTGAAATGTTTTGGTAAATCCCTGAAGGCTATTGCTTTTCATTAGATGCCCCTAGAAGTGTGGCTCCTTCCTGGGTCCCAACCAAATTACAATTTCAGAAGTTGTATTCCCATACTCAGTCTTACCCATGACCACTGCACAGGGGCACTAGGCCTATGAGTACATTGTGAGGGTGACCCCAGAAGCCTCCCCTCAGAAGATCATGAGAGCAGGGGCTGTTAAAGCCCCTATGCATGTCGGGCTTGGCTACACGCTTCTTTAGAACTTGTCCTGTTTCACCTTGCATGCTGGGAACTAAGTAAGTGGACACGAAGCTGGTAGGGCTGAGGGCAAGGAGGGCCCCAGTCCATGGAGTGACCTAGAGAGGGTCTCCCTGAAGCCTCTAGGCAACCTGTGGAAGTCCTGGCCACAATTCCTGCTACCCCAGCACTCGTGAGCAAAAACCAACCCCACTTCCAGCAACTCTCCAATGCTGGAAAAGGGCAAGGGGCGAAGACGACTCCCCAAACATATGGAGACACAATGAATCTGTGATGTATCAGGCCCCACAAGCTTAGCACTGAGCCCACGGCACTTTTTCACCATAACATTTTATTTTTTATTTTTATTAAAGGGGAGTCTCAGGAAACAAAGTCTGCTGAGGTGTGAGGTTAATTCTTTACATGATGAGGGGGTCACAGAGGTACAACATCCATCCTCCATTAGCAGCAAAGGAGCCTCTTTAAGTTGTCCCAAGGGTGCAAGTTCCATTTATAAGACAGTAGTGTTGGCCTCTTACAAAAAGCAAAACAGAACCTTAAAAAAACACTTACGGGCCTCCCTAGTGGCACAACGAGTTAAAGCATAACACTACGAAGCTAGCCTCAGCCGCTTCAACAAGAGTTCAATCCCTGACCAGGTTGCTGACCCACATGGCGAGGCAGACCTCCCCTGTTGCTGCTCCCTCAGCAGCACACTTCGTCGATCTGCCTGTTCTGCTTCCCACTCTGTCTCTGGTGAATCCTCGCACAGCCCTTGAACCTCTGGTCTATACCCCAGTTCTGAATGCATAAATAAATAAATCTTGTTTTAAAAAACACACTTATGGGCCCTCCCTGGTGATGCAGCGGGTTAAAGCACAGCACTAAGAAGCTAAAGCCACTTCAGCATGAGTTCAATCTCCCGCCAGAGGTGATCTCTCCTGACCCACCCACTGCTCCCTCAGCAGTGTACTTAGTTGATCTGCCTATTCTGCTCCCCACTCTGTCTCTGGTGAATCCTCTCACCGACCCTACGCCTCTGGCCTGTACCCCAGTTCTGTATATATAAATAAATATATTAAAAAAAACTTATTAGAAGATTAGACATCATAACATGTATGGCCAGAGATGCTGCAAAGTCCTTGGATAAAATGGAGGGGGCGGGGTCTCCAAGACATCAGCCTGAAAGCAGGCGAGTTTGGGGCACAGAGATGCAAGCGAGATAAATAAACTGTTACAATAGTTCTACAAGTCCAAGCCACCCTCCAACCAGGGATGAGGTGTAGACTTTGGGTAAGGTTCATTGTGATACCCAGACCCCAATGGAAGGCCCAGGCTTGCAAGGCCCATTTCAAGAGATGACTGTGTTCTCTGGAGAGACATGGAGCAACCTCCTGATGATGTGGGGTGGAAGAAAGGAGTCAGAGGGATGGAACCCTCCTCAGGATGCCATTGGCAACTTGGCTCACTTGGAGAAGCAGGCCAGGGCCCTTGAAAGTGATCAAAACAGGTCAAGTCTCAGCACCACTAAGCTGTCACCAGCCACTAGAGCCTGAGTTCAATCCCCACTCAGGGAGCTGTCCATATGGCAGCACAGACCTCTCCTCTCACCTGCTGCTCCCCTCAGCAGTGTATTTCAATACATCTGCCTGTTCTGCTCCCCACTCTATGTCTGGTGAATCCTCTCACCCCCTGTATCTCTGGTCTACATCCCAGTTCTTATATGTATAAATAAATAATAGTAAATCTTGAAAAATAAAACTATGTTTCAAGAAATACCAGAAGTCACAAAAAAAGAGATTAAAAACATAAGAAATTACCATGAAAATCTTTATGGCAATAAATTGGATAATGTAAGAGAAATGGACAAATTCTTATGAGTATATAACCTTTCAAGACAAGT